CTCATGGTATCCGGGCGTTTATCCACGAGACGACCAAGAAGCTTTGATTCTTCATCCTGGGTGAGAGCATTGTACGCTTCTTCAAGAGTAGGTAGAGGAACACGAGAGAGAAGATCAGATTTCACCGCACCGTACAACGTATCGTCGAGATCCATGAGGAATTAGTGTAGTTTGTCTTCCTCACGTTCCTTGCGAACTTCTTCCATCGTTTTAGCTCGTTGATAATCAGCGAGACTCCTCCACAATTGAGTGAGCTTACCATAATAAGCTTCGATAGCAAGACCTTTCTGCCGACAATTCGCCAACTCGCTTATAAGATGTTGAACACGCTGACCGTTCTTTATCCCAAATCGTTTCTGAATGTGTGACCACAGCTCATGAGAATCATCAGTGTGTGAGAGAGAGGATGAGAAGCTCTCATCATTCGTGAGCTTGATCCAGGAAACAACAAGAGCGTTATTTGCAATCCAATCTTCAAAGTCAGGAGAAGATTCATCCGGTTGTGGGATTGACCCATCAGCAAATCAAAATTTCTTTCTAGCTTTGAGAGCAAGACAAATGTTGTTAGCCCATTCATCTTAGTTAGATCTGCACAGTAGAGGTTTAGAGATCAAAGTCCCTTTTGTCACCAGACGTTAAATCATATGGAGAGATTGTGCGCCTAGTTTCAACACGAGCAGGAACCGAATGGTCAGTCATGGAAGACGAGGAAGATGAACCGTTTGTACCCATTTCCATTCGCAAAAGAGAGAATTCAACTAGAGAGAGAGAGTTGAAAACAGAGGTCAAAGGATAGAAACAATAGAAAAGAGAAAGAAAACTCTGTTTTGAAGCAGAAACAGAATCAAACAAACCCTTGTTAATAGTTCAGGTTTAGCTCTGATACCATGTTACAAATCTATGAAGTTGTAAAAGGTTTCTTATTTCACATTGTCGAAGGCAGTTGCCTTATATACAACCACAATAAATGTTTAACCTAAATACAACAATAACATAAACCAAAGTAGCCCATTAGGCCCAATAATCCCAATAAAAAATGGTAGTTTTGCAAAAAGGTATTATAAAAAGGTTATTAGTAAAACTTTATCTAAAATCAACGTAAATTTTGTTATCTATAAATTATAAGTAGTATCAGTAGTTTTATTATTCATTGAAATTTGATTTGTTTATTTAATATATTATAAAATATTTTGTTATTGTTGGGTTACCATTTATGATTTTGTTCCTTTTCTACATCTTTTCCTTTCATTCCACATAAATTGTTTATTCCGTTGAGTATTGTTCTTTTTCTTCTTTTTCCTTTTGTTCATCTAATGGTTAACATAAGAGCTAAAATTAGATATAACACATGGCGACATCTTATGTTTTACTTGACATTTATGATGATAACTTTAGTTGGTAACTTTGAAAACTAAGCTATCTTGATATTAACAAAATTAGATATAACACACAGCGACAACTTATGTTTTACTTGACACTTATTATGATCATGTTAGTTGGTAACTTTGAAAGCCAAGGTGGGACATATCATCTCATTTAATTTTAAACCTAAACCATAATTCTCATTTATAAAGCTAAACTGTAATTCTTATAGATAAACTCAAACAAACATATAACAAGTTTTAGTTGTAAAATTAAAATCTAAACCTTAATCTTCTTATGTAGACAAAGACCGACATATAATTAGACCTTAATCCTCCTCAGTAGACAAAGACAGACATATAATCTCGTTTAATTGTAAACTTTAAATCATTATCTTCATAATAAGACATATTAACATATGTACAACTTTTAAATTTTTTTTAATTTATAAAGTTTAAGAAAACTTATTTTATATATTTCCTTTTTTTACATGGTTAAGAATATTTATACTTTCATTTAAATATTAACAAAATTAGATACGTGCCAACATCCTATCCTTCATAATTAACACATGTCGCGATCTTGTTAATGACTAACTTTGAAAACCAAACTTTATATAATAAAATATTGAATTTGTCATTTTTTAAAACATATATTTTTTTTTTATGATTATATGACATGACTAGGTATAAGACGGGAAAGTTGTAATATGCTTCAAACAAATTATATGACGGGACAGGTTGTAAGACTGAACGGGTTTGAGTTGATATTACCAAAAAAAATAATATTATTAATTTCACAGTTCAATCTATATTAACATTTTTGCAGCATTTTAAAAAAAAAACTTGGACTTCGAAGTTATTTACAAAGCTATGCCATTGACATTAATTATTTAGTTAAATTTTTGAAAAATAATAATAATCATTTTTAACAAAATCCCTAAAATCTCTCCCTAATAAATATAATATCATTACTTGTAATCCAGCTTTTTTCAAATATTTCTCCAAAATCTTTATATGATTTTATTTGTTTTTAATTTATTTTATTACATAAAACTTATGTATAATAAAAACACAAAATTTTTTTTTTCGCATATATTGCAATTTGACTTTTTTTTAAATGGATGTATATTATAAATGTTTTTAGCATACGTACAACATCCCATATCGGTAGATTTTTTTTGATAATGGTTCAGAACCTTTATAAATAAGATTATAACCTTCCAACTACGAATGACGGGACTATAAACATGGGTTTAAACTTTTTGGCGAATATATGATGGGATGTGTTGTAAGACGGGAATGATTGTTAACTACATATAAAGTTTAAAATATTTTAAATATTTTTAAAATTTTTAAACGTTTCAGTGTTATTAATATTCTAGATCTACACCAACTTTATACTAAAATATTATTGATTTTGCCATATTTTTAAACATGGATTTATTTTTTTGGCGATTATATGAGCTGACAGGGCATAACATGGAAAATGTTGTAATATGCTTCCAACAGATTATATGACGGGTTGGGATGTAAGACGGAACGGGTTTAATTTGGTATTAATAAAAAATTCTAAGATTATTAATCTCACTGTTCAATATGGGTCATTTACTATTTTTTAATAACACAGATATAAATATGTATAATTAAACTAATTTAGTAAATTTTGATATTACGCAATCTTGATAATTATAAAAAAAAATCCAACAAAACCTATCGATTTTTAAAAACATGAATTACAAAGAAAATGTTTATTCCGTGGTGTACCGCGGGTTAAAAATCTAGTCTATAATAACATTTTTCAATCACTTTTTAGAATAATTCCTGGACTTTAAATCTATTTACAAAGAATGCCATTAGAATTTATTATTTATTAAAATTTTTGAAAACTAATAATAAACATTTTTAACAAAAGTCCTTAAAGCTCTCCCTAATAAATATAATATCATTTCTTTTTTTCCACATTTTCTCAAATATTTCTCCAAAATCTTTATATGATCTTTTTTTTTTAAAGTTATTTTATGACTTAAAACATATATTTAATAAAAATATAATTTTTCGCAAATATTGTAATTTTAATTTTTTAACAGACGTATATTACAACTTTTTCGCATATGTACAACATCCCACATAAGGTCTAATTTTTTTAATAATGTTTTAGAAACGTTATAAATAGGATTATATAACCTTCCCAACTACCAATGGGTTTAATATTTTGGGGATTATATGACGGGACGGGTTGTTAACTCCATATACAGTTTAAAAATTTAAAATATTGTGAAATTTTTTAAAAAGCTTAAGTGTTATTAATATTTTTAACTCTACACCAAGTTTATACCAAATATTATTGACTTTGCCAATCTTTAAACATATATTTTTTTGATGATTATATGACATGACTGAGTATAAGACGGGAAATGTTGTAATATGCTTCCAACATATAATATGACGAGACGAGTTGTAAGACGGAAAGAGTTTGAGTATATATTATCAAAAAAAAAAAAATATATTAATCTCACAGTTCAATACGGGTTATTTTACTATTTTTTTAACAACACTGATATAAAACATATATATCACCTCTTTTTGTCTTCTCACCTATCCGGGTTCGAGTCCGGTCTCTCTCAAAGAGAGACTTGTAATTTGTAATGATGTATAAAAACATTTATAATTAAACTAGTAAAGAATGATATTATGAAATTTTAATAATTATTACATTAACTCCAATAAAATCTCCAAATATTCATAAACATGAATTAAAAAGAAAATGTTTATTCGATAGTGTACTGAAGGTTATATATGTTTGTGCTCTAGACATAACTCTGTTCTGCATCCGCCACTAGCTGCGACTGTTATTTGGAAATTCATAATCGTTACAAAACCCAGCAGCACAACTTAAAGCTTTGTTTTTGAAGCAGCAATAATCAAATTTTCATGATAAGAGATTTGCAAATCTGAAAAACTTATCATCTTCTTCCCCGTAACAGCATACAATTTTGTTGAAAACTTACTAAATTTATGATAATACCCCTTTAAATACTCATAATTACAAAACTGGCGTGTTAAAAAAATAAAAATAAAAAGTATCAGTCGCCGAAATGAAACATGTGATTGTTAAAAAAAAAACATGGCCATATACTGATACTTATAAAAATAAAATAACATATGTGTAAACGTAATTTTACAATTTTTTTGTGCTATTGTGGTTGATCCAACTTTGTATGGACTAAGATTAATACAAAACCACAATATATGTGCTTGTTTAATCTATTCCTATAAAGAATTTATGCACTTTTGCGATGTTGCAAAAAATCAAAAAAAAGAAAAGAAAAAAAGATATGTCCGTTTTCCACGAATCCAAAGAGAAAAAGGAAACAAAAAAAAAAAGAGTCACGAATATATTTGAAGAAGATGAAAAAGAAGGAACATAAAGAGCTTTAAGCTTATTCATGTCGGTCTTGGAGATTTAGCTCTATCAACTTATCAAAGTCAGTTTAGGAGATCGGATCCGAAAAGTAGTTATAAAAGAGCTTCTTCTTGTCTTGTCTGAAGCTTTTACTTCAGAACCAACAAGAAACCCACAAAACAAGCAACCGTCAGTCAACCAAATTAAGGAGAGATTTTCGAATCACTGTAACGATGTCAAATTACACTGGTCCGCTGCACAGTAAAAGGCAGAAGAAGGATTCGTCCCTCTCTCCGTCGTCGTCGTTATCAATGTTGCCAAACGATGTTGCTCTGAACTGCTTGTCTCGCCTCTCGAGATTAGACAGCGCAGCATTGTCTCTGACCTCCAAGAGCCACCGCTCTCTCGTGGTTTCGCCTGAGCTTTTCCGCACGCGTGAGCTGATGGGTTGTACCGAGGAGTATTGCTACATCTGCTTAAGCACTCCTCCTAACCCAATTCCATGCTGGTTCATCCTCCGCCGTGGAGGGTGAACTCTACATGGCGCCGCTGTTAACAAGTCTGTGAATCAGTGGCTAAGACCGATCCCATCGCATCCTTATCATCAGCCTCTAGAAGCGTCCTCTTTCGTAGAGCTGGATTTGGGGATCTATATCATTGGTGGAATCATAAACGGAAGCCCCACTTCAGATGTCTTGCTTCTTGATTGTCTCTCTCACACCTGGCGACGTGTCCCGTCCATGAGAGTGGCTCGCACTTCCGCAGCAGTAAAAGTGGTAGAAGGGAAGATTTACGTGTTTGGAGGCTGCCAGGAGGTTGATTCCCCCAACAGGGCAGAGGTTTTCGACCCAAAGACGCAAACTTGGGACACCTTGCCATTACCTGAGGATCCAGAGATACGCAAGAACACAAGTATGATCGACAATAGTGTGGTGATTGAAGGTAAAGTTTACGCGGTGGACGAGGAGGATCAAAGCTTCTTCTACCTGCCACGTGAAGGTATATGGAGAAGAGGAAACCGGGATTCTAAGCGGGGAAACCGAATGGACTGGTGTGCCATAGGGAAACTGTTATACTGTTTTGGTACCCGCGGTAAAATAATGTGGTGTGAGCCAGATGAGTTAGATGGGAAGGAAGTGAAAGGTTTGGATGTTGTGCAGTGGTGTGTATTTGCTTTAAAAGCAAACAACTGTGCTATGGACGAGACTCTCGCTTGGAAGCTCCACATGACCGAAAATGGTCTCAGCAGACTGAGCAGCAATTCTCGTGGGAACATTGTGGTCTTCTGGAAGGTGCATATCCCGCGTACTGAACGGTTGGAGCTTTGGTCTGCAGAGATTTCTTTGGAGAGGCGCGAGGGAGGCGACATTTGGGGGACAATTTGAAGAAACAGAGTGTTTGAAGGACCAACAGTTGCAGAACCTGAAAATGCTCAGAAGAACTCTTAGAAGCACGATGCCACGCTGGCATCTTGTTGACAGCGCAACACTTCGATCGTGATGAGAAGCAGCACGTTTGGTGCCCAACGTTGGTAACGAAGTCAAAGGGCAGGAGTGACAGCTACAGCAAAAAGCATGTAAAGTTGTCAGACAAAAGGTGGTTGTTGTTGGCTAGTGGGAAGCTAGTGAAGTCAACATCATGACAAGAAGCTGCGCAGTGTCCGCTGGATAAAGAGAGGACCTGCGAGTTGTTTTGTTGCCTATATAAGAAGAGAGCTTTCTTCTTATTAGGGTTAGCACTTTAAGAAGAAAAAGTGTGAGAGTTCTTTGTGTTCATATCTGAGTTTCAAACGAAGAATTGTTGTGGGTTCTTTTGGTGAGTGAACAAAAGAGTGTGCATAGCTGTTGCTGTGCTGGTAAGCTGGGTAGATTAGGAATCGATCAGGACCAAATCACAGTGTGTGATGTTGGTTAACACTGATCAAACAAGATTGTAAAAGAGTTGTTTGAAGATTGCTAATAAAACCAAGTTTGAAGAAATTTCTGTATCTTTGTAGTCGTTTCAAGGTTCTAGTTCTTACAATTGGTATCAGAGCAGGAAACCGATCTGTGAGACTTTCTCGTCTCCAAACAGGTTAGATCCTGAACTATGGAACCTACTACTGTTGGTACAGGAACAAGCAAGAACATCACTCTGGATACAAGAAGATATGGGTACTGGAAAGTTAGGATGACACAACTCATCAGAGGTCAAGTTGAAGAAACATGGACTGCTGTAGAAGAAGGTTGGGAACCTTCGTTCGAGTCGACTGCTGAAAGGAACAACCATAGAGATAAAGCTGAAGATGATCGCCTAAGCCTTGTTGTCTTTACTGCCAAAATTGACAAACTGCAAGATTCTGATACTGATTCAGACAGCAATGATGAAGTGAATCCTAAAAAGGAATACAGGACGCTCTATGACAGTTGGATGCAACTGAGTCAAGACAAGCTTAAACTTCTGGAAGAAAAGCTGAGTCTTGAAGCCAAAATCACTAGTGCCTATGAAGAAAAAAATCGTCCTCCCACTCCTACCTTAAGTTGTGATAAGTTCACTCAGGACTTGTTCAAGAAAGCTGAAGATCTTCACATCTATCTTAACAAAGAAAGGATAGAGCAACCATGCTAGAACGAGAGCTTAACGACAAGCATAAGCATATCAGAATGTTGAACAGTGCGTCGGGCGACCTGAATAACATTCTGAAAAGGCCTGAGCATCAAGGATTAGGATACCAAGAAGGTCAAGAACAGTGCAACAAAAGGTCTGTGAAGTTTACCAGTGGAGGGATGCTAGAAGAAACAGTGGATAATCAACAGTCTGGCATTGATAACTTGGTGGAACTTAGTACTGTGAAAAGAAAAGACAATACTAAAAGTTACTCTACGAGAAGAGTGTTCAACAGAAGGTTTTATGGATGTGGTCACTGTGGAAGAAAAGGTCATCAAAGGAGCAGATGCTACAAGTTCAAGGAAAGAGTCTGTCTTCTATGGACTCTGAACAGAGGATACTTAGAACCAACCAAGTTCTGTCACATGTGGGTGTCAAAGAAAGATCTCTATGGAGACATGCAGAGTGAAGTGTCTAACAAACATCTTCAAGACATGTACGATACAGAAGAGGCAGTCTACAACAGTTGTGAAAGTGAAGTCACTATAGAGCATCTGAAGGAGAAGACAGGAGATGTCCAAAACTTGAACTGCACCCTCGTGTGTACAGAACCCACAGTTGCAGCTATGCATGCCCATGTTGCGTATACCTCTGCGGCTACTCCGGATGGTAATTCGTGGTATTTTGACAGTGGTTGCTCTAGACACATGACCGGAGATCGAAATACTCTTGACGACTACACAAATGTGTCAAGTGGAAAAGTCACCTTCGGGGATGGCGGTAAGGGCAACATAAAAGGAAAGGGTTTGATTTCAAAATCAAATCAACCTCAATTGGAAAATGTCTACTTTGTTGAGGGATTAAAGGCTAACTTGATCAGCATCAGTCAGCTCTGCGATGATGGCTTGAAAGTTTCTTTTACAAAGATTAACTGTAGTGCCTGTGATGAAAATGATAATGAAGTGCTTTCAGGTGTGCGATCAGAAAATAATTGCTATATGTGGAAGAAGTCTGAAACGTGTCTGTCGGCAACAACGTCTAAATTAGATCTGTGGCATAGACGTCTGGGACATATTAACACACAGAGTTTGATCAAGATTGTGAATGCAGAAGTGGTTAGAGGAATTCCCAAGCTGGAAGGAAAATCTGATGCAGTATGTGAGGCATGTAGCAAAGGAAAGCAGATCAAAGTTCAACACAAGAAAACAGCTGATATTGGAACAAAGAAAATTCTTGAGCTTGTCCACATGGATCTCATGGGACCAATGCAAACAGAAAGCCTGAATGGGAAAAGGTATGCCTTTGTTTTAGTTGATGATTTTTCAAGATACACATGGGTTAGATTTTTAAGAGAAAAATCAGAAGCAGTTGAAAGCTTTAGGATTCTGGCTCTTCAGCTGCAAACTGAAAAGGGAAGCATTGTCCAAATCCGAAGTGATCATGGTGGTGAGTTTCAAAATGAGGAGTTTGAAAAGTTCTGTAACCTGCAAGGCATCAGACATCAATATTCTGCCCCAAGAACGCCACAACAGAATGGAATTGTTGAAAGGAAAAACAGAACTCTTCAAGAAATGGCAAGGGCAATGATTCATGGAAACAATGTGTCACCTAGGTTCTGGGCTGAAGCAATTAACACAGCCTGTTACATCATCAATCGTGTTTATGTTAAACCAAAAACGAGCACTACTCCTTACGAAATTTGGAAAGGAAAGACACCAAATCTGTGCTACTTTCATACCTTTGGATGCATATGCTACATTCTAAATGATAAAGATCATCTTGGAAAATTTGATGCAAGGAGTGATGAAGGGATATTTCTGGGATATGCAACAAATAGCATGGCTTACAGAGTGTATAATAAACGCCTTAAGAGAGTAGAGGAATCTGTCAATATCGTGTTTGATGACAGAAGTCCAACACAATTGTTTCCAGTTGCTGTAGATGATGAAACTCCTAATGAGGAGGCTACTCAGGAAAAACCAGAAGAAGACCAAGAAAGGATAAGTAACGATAGTCAAGGTGAAACATCAGAAACAGTGGGTGAAACTGCAAACACTCCGTTAAAAGTACCAAGAAATCACTCTGAATCGGATGTTATTGGACACTTGAGAGGTGATCGTACTACTCGGGGAGTCCAGATTAACTTCAGAGAAATGCTTCAACATTCATGCTTTGTGTCTGTTATGGAGCCCAAAGATGTGTTTGCAGCTCTTGAAGATGAGTTTTGGTTCTCAGCTTGTCATGAAGAGTTAAACCAGTTTACCCGACATGATGTGTGGAATCTTGTTCCAAGACCTACTCATATAAATGTCGTGGGAACGAAATGGATTTTCAAGAACAAGATTGATGAAAATGGAAATGTAACAAGGAATCGAGCAAGATTGGTTGCTCAAGGATATTCACAGGTTGAAGGAGTAGACTTTGATGAGACATTTGCTCATGTAGCTCGTCTAGAATCTATTCGGCTGCTTCTTGGTATGGCATGTCTTCTAAACATCAAGATGTTTCAAATGGATGTAAAGAGTGCTTTTCTAAATGGATTGATCCAAGAAGAAGTCTACGTATCTCAACCTAAAGGATTTGAAGATCCAAACTTTCCAGATCATGTCTACAAGCTGAAGAAAGCTCTCTATGGATTAAAGCAGGCTCCTCGTGCTTGGTATGAACGTCTTACTGAGTTTCTGGTTGATAATGGGTTCAAGCGTGGGAGTGTTGACAAAACCCTGTTTGTCTATGAAGAAGGTGTGGACATTCTTATTGTCCAAATATATGTTGATGATATTGTGTTTGGAAGCATAAGAAAAGAATTAGTGAATACCTTTGTAAAGGTTATGACAAAGGAATTTGAGATGAGTATGGTAGGAGAAATGAACTACTTTCTGGGTCTGCAAATCAAACAGACAGATGATGGGATTCATGTATCTCAGGGAAACTATGCCAAGAGCTTAATTCAAAGATTTGGAATGCAGACTAGCAAGACGTCCAGAACAGCAATGAGCTCCACTGTGAAACTATCCAAAGATGAATAGGGACAGAAAGTTGATGAAAAACTATATCGGGCTATGATTGGAAGTCTTCTGTACCTCACTACAAGCAGACCTGATCTATGCTTCAGCGTGGGAGTCTGTGCAAGATATCAGGCCGATCCAAGATTGTCTCATCTGAACGCTGTTAAGAGGATCATCAAATATGTGAAAGGTACCACTGACCGAGGGTTGTATTATACTAAGCAAACTAATCCGAATCTTGCTGGTTTTTGTGACTCAGATTGGGCAGGTAATCTGGATGATAGAAGAAGTACCTCAGGCGGATGCTTCTTTCTGGGAAATAACCTCATATCCTGGCACAGTAAGAAGCAAAGCTGTGTAACCTTGTCAACAGCTGAAGCTGAATACATTGCCCTAAGAAGTTGCTGCACGCAATTAATGTGGATGAAACAAATGCTATCTGACTATGGTATTGTTTCCTCAACCTTATTTGTGTATTGTAACAACATGAGTGCTATAAATATTTCAAAAAATCCTGTCCAACACTCTCGTACAAAACATATTGACATTAGACATCATTTCGTTAGAGAACTTGTTGAAAACAAAGTGATAGAGATCTCTCATGTATCCTCAGAAAAACAACTTGCTGATATGTTCACTAAACCATTAGATTTAAACAGTTTTGTAAATCTGCAAAAATCTATTGGATTGTGTGATCACTAATGATTCTTGTCTTTAAGGCGTATGCAACAGGTTCCTCTGTACAGGGTTGCATAGCTTTGTGTCTGTATTTTAAACAAAAAACTTTCAGC